CAACATCTCCAACTCGAGATCTGGCGCTGCGACTTGAAGCAGCAGCAGCAGCAGCAACAGCAGGGCGTCGTTGACGACCGCGACCGTGTCTGCGGCTGGGTCGCCCACCGTCGCGAGTCTTTCCGCACACACCTGTCCAAGGAACATAGCATGGACGACACGACCATGGAGAAAAAGGTAACCGAGTGCCACATTGGCCGCAACTGCGAGTCGCGCTTCTGGTGCGGGTTTTGCCGCAAGACAATCGAGTTCCAGAAGGATAAGAAACTGGCGTGGTCGGCGAGGTTTGATCATATCGAGGACCATTTCATTGGACGGAATGGGGTAAAACAGCAAAATATTAAAGATTGGGAGTTCATCGAGCCCCCTGTGGCTGGTGGTGGTGGTGGAAAGAACGGAACTAGGACTGGAACTGGAAAAGGGGCAGCGGAGATGGCAGGGAGGGAAGTGGTTGATTTGACTGTTGAGCAGGCAGGGGACGACGATCTAGAACCTGAGAGAAGCTCTTCGAGTTCCTCTTTGTATGTCGCGGGGCAGCGACGGGTGCAACAAACTTTTAAGCGCCGCTTGGATGCAGAAGACGGGACCGTAACGTCTGCTGCGCCGAGAGCAAAGAGGCACAAGTCGGGCAATAGGCAGAGGGAGTATCTCTGGTCTTGTGTAAGTCTTCCTTTCCCCAATCTCGCCCCCGTGTTGTTGGTGTGTCGTACTAACCACACACACACATTCTTGACGATTAGTGCCAGTGTACCGGAGCAATGTTCAATGTCGAGACGACGCCCGCATGTCTGGATTGCAATCATGCTCAATGCGAGCACTGCGATGTTGAGTACCATAGGGGCCCTCGGGAGGGACGTTAGAGGATTTGTCTTCATGTGACGGCAATGAAATTTTTTTTTCTTTTTCGGTCACTTCTTGTTTCTCATCTCATTATCTGCGGATGGAGATACTTGTATCGTGTTTTAGCAATTTAGAGCGACTCTTGGGTAGATGAGGGGAAGATCTGTGTTAGGTTGGCTTGCTTACTTTACACACTCTCAAAGGGTGTATGTGTGTGTATTCGTGGGGGGCAAAGGAATGACTGGTAGGACTGACCTGCAACACCTCGCCGGTCTGTACTATGTATATGGCAGGCAAGATGCATGTGTCGAATAATATAGAATATCGATCGATGGGTGTTCGATCCCGTGGAAATTACGATAAAAAGGGTTTTTTTGGTTTTTTTTTGCCCCCGGTTTCTACCATATCTTGCAAGATTGCATCCTTGTCTCAAATGAACCCAGTCATTCATCCCCTCTCCTTCAGGGATTCATCTCAACCTTGTGATCTTCGAGGACACCAACATCTTTCTTTGCGCCTTCCCTTTTTATCGTGTTCCTTTTTCAGGTAGAGGTAGAGGTACTTTTCCCATCTCCCGTCGTTGACGAAGAAACATCCTTACAACAAAAACAGTGGAGGCTCTTAGACTAGGCACTTTTTTTCCAATGGCCAAGGCAAGCATCTGTCCCCCCCCCCCAACGATGTCGGGTTCCTTCCTTCCTCCCTTTATTTCCTTCCTTCTCTGTTCGAAGCCATCCCGTGTCCAGAACTATTTCCCTAAGAACCCGGTCCGAGTCTTACGGGTACGTACTGACGGATCCGAGTCGTCCTACACCACTCCGCCACTCCCGCATCTATTCTCACTCACCTAGCTTCAGCGCCCACTCACTCCCTCGTAACCCACGGATTCCTCCCATACTTATCCCGGTATTCGTTCTAATGAAGGTACCTCAGAAGATACCTCGCAAAACACACCTTCCCTAAGTAGACCTTGGCAAGCTACTATAAATCACCGCATCCAATAAGTTAGATAGATAGCAACTCCATCCCATCTCCCGCCGCGAACCTTGCATCTGCTGTGGCACTGCTTCAGTCTGTGTCCTGTCGTCCTCCTCCAGTCCTCTGCTCCGCTCGGCGACCGGCTCGGCTCGGCTTGGCTTGGCTTCATGGCTTGGCTAGGTACCTCTAGGCCCCCTTCCTTTGCCGTATTGGGACATACATCGATACTTCTTTCACACGTCTAGACACGTACAGTACCGCAGCAGTGTAGTAGTGTATTACACGCAAATTAAGCTGCGATGAGCCTATCTGTGAGCCTGTCAGAACCTTGCTTTTGAACAACGTTGCACAAACTTTAGATTCCCCTTACTTGTTGGTTGGTTTGCCCATTCCTCCTCTACCGTCGCTACTGTTGTAGTACGAAAAAGGAGCGTGCGTGCCTGTCATGCCATGTCATATCATGTATTTCACTTGGTGATGTCCATTGATCCCGGCGGGAATTGTGGGAAAAGAGATAATCCCCTACCCCAACATCCAATGTGGTAAGGGGGAACGAAATTTTTCATTTACTACGAGTTTACCTTCGAGAATCACATGGTTAAGATGAAGAACTTATGGAAGGGGTGGGGAGGGGATGGGGTAGGTGACTGGGTTGGTTCATTTGAGCACAAGATGTGATGATGCAAGACAGGATGAAGAAGAAGGTTAGTATTTCTTAGTTTGCTGGGGGGAAAAAAAAAAAAAGAAAAAGGAAAGAGAAAGGGACCACCATTTCCATCGAATATACAATCTAACCCTGGTTTGTTTGTTAGCTTGGTACAAAAAACGCCCATTTCCACTCTCAGGCTACTAGAATGGAAAAATATTCGGGGTTTCAAGCGGACGAGTACTGTAGGGGACTACTGTCTTATATCTTTGAGTCTCTGAAGGCCTTGGAAGAAGACGGAGAGAGGCATAAGATGGCTTCTGTGGCGTTTTTAACCCTGGCAATTGTCCCATGACGCTTCACACGGAGGCCAGTTTCTCTCTTTCTTAGCCAATAAGAGCTCCAGATCTCCCCTGTTCAACCCATGGCCGAAGAACCAAACTAACAAACAAACCAGTATTGAATTGTAGGAAGCGAGAGAGAACGGTGGAGATGCACAGATGGACAAACAACTTGAAAAGAAAAAAGAAAAAGGGGAGAAAAAGAAGGACTAGGGAAAAGAACAAAGAAAAAAGAACGAAGAAGGAAAACGAGAAAGTAAAACAAGAAACAAAAGAGAAACTAGAAAAAAAAAAAGAAAAAAGCGTGGTATAGTCCGTACAAAGTCCGAACCCCAAACTTCCCCAAGGACGACCCCAATTGGAAGCGGAATCATTCCGCCTCCGGGCAGGGATTTTGCCATTTCCACTAACGAACCGAACCACGTAAGAATGTACACTACCCGATCCCAAGGGCAGTAGTACATTACACTACACTACACTACACTACACTAGCACCTTCTCGCTAACCATCGATCGCTGCATATGATGCCAAGGACCTACAAGCAAGTTAGCTCCTTTTCATCCTAAACCTCCTTCCAGTTGGATGTACCTAGTTTTTTTTTTTAGAATTATCATTGATGGATATGTCCTCAGTCCAGGTGTCCAGGTCCCATGATTCACAGAGGTAGGTTAGGTAGGTAGGTATGATTCAGTGTCCTGGCAGGACAAGACGGATCGAGATCACATCTCCCCCAAAACCGGGGCTGACCTTAGTTACCGAGGAGCGCTTTCAGTTCCGCATGCCTTAGCTCTTTTGTTGTTTCCCCGGTTTCGAAAATGTCGTCAGCAGTAGCAGCAGCAGCGAGATGATATCATACCAGCTGTGCGGGAAACCTTTGTGCGTACTACCACAGCCATCGGGTTATTCAATGTTGGAAGGTGTCAATAGGAAGATGGGGGGCCAAGAAAACATGACAGCTGAAGATGAGAAGGACTAAGGGAGTGAGGACAGTGCTTGCTGTCGCCGGCAGTAAAATAAGTCCCAAGGGTATATCACCTCTAGGCACATACCATAATTATTCAATCTCCTCGCCGCGCGTCTGCTTTGGAAACGAAACGACCCGGTACATCTTGTGTCGCGAGAGACCAGGAACATGTAGCTAGGTAACGTGACATCTGTCTGTCTGGACTGTCACAAGCTACTATGCTATCACTCAATTGATTTGCTTTATGTTGCCCCCCGCGTCAGGTACGTAGACCACGGGTGGTAACCGGATCGCGCATATCATAGTTCTACACCTTTGTCCGGGGGGGAAAAAGGTTGATGAATCTTGTGTGAAATCACCGTCAGTGTGGATCAGTGACAAAAAGACAAGTCTCTACACTATGAAAGAGTAACACTCATATACTGGCAAGAAACCCGACTTTTCTGTAGACTGGAAGTATCACGCTAACCTTGTTTCTCCAGCAGAGGTGTAGTAGCAAGCTGATGCATTAGTACCATGACGTCGTGACATGCTGAAGAATCCAGACCTTTTTTTTAATATTTTTGGATACTTACCTACCTCTATGAAAAGATGGTCAATCGTATCTGCAGGCTGTACGTATCCCACTCGGCACTAGCCCGAATGGACAGCTCGGTGGTGACGATAATCAGTGAATGGCAGATTCTGTGGCTTGGTTGGTGCCTTGGGTAGTTCGGCCCTACGGTACCTTTGCTGTGCTACCTGAACAGTGACTGCCCTGCTCGTGTAACAGTCACGCCGGCAAGAAGGATGTGGGGAGGAGGACTGTGAAGAAGCGGGGAGAAATCGGGGGAGTTGCTCGCTTAGACTTTGGGTTGTGCTACATACGTCGGAAACCGTGACTCTACTATTTCGAAGGACTTGGGTACCGTTGATCGCCGAACATGTGGTGGTGCCCGGGTCAGCAGAACAGGGTTCAGTTGGTCGGCGAATTTACAAGCCCGAAGTGTTGAGAAGCTGTGAAATCGATCATCTTGCTCTCTCTCTCTCTCTCTCTGAAACTCAACGCGGTGGCTGTCACGGCTTGGCACAACCGGTGGGAAGAGGTGAAAGTGATAGATCGCGCTGGTCTCCGGTTCCTTCGTCAGAGGCTTGAAGGATGAGTTCGTTGCATCGGCATGTCGAGGAGCAACGGCTTCAAGGACCCTAAAATGCCAAGTATATTTTTCAGCTGTTGCCTCCTCGAGCCATATGGATGAGTCCCGTATTCGGTATGGAGTCCGTATCTCTTTGGGTCCTGTCAAGGTTCCTGGATGGTTGGGAAGGCGGAGCCGTAGCACTAGCTTGCTGATATCGCCGAAAATCCGGGACCCTTCTGGGGAACACCAGCCGGGTAGGGCGTTCTATGAGGACATCTCCGTGTTCGTCCTTCATCAGTGAGCGGTTGGTTTGTTGCTACCTGGGCTGGTCAACTTGTCATGAACCGTTGTATTCCACCCACATGTGTAATATCTGTCATGGTCACGAGTGCAAGATCCTTACAGCGTGCCCATTGTAACGAGAGGCACGGGTAAGTAAACCTTGAGATCCGGTGCAGCGGTCATTTCCGAGATGCATGAGGATGGGGACGGGTTGTTGGATGGGAAAGTGAGAAAGAGATCCAAGCAGCCGGCTTCCAGAGCAGTGACAGATGGGACGTCACGTCGGTAGAAGATGAGCAAGGTGGTTGATCCCGGCCGGCACGCATGCGCAGTTGCGAGGGTCAAGACAGAATACCTTGATATCCATTGGACGGGCAGATCGATGGACAAGGGTCGTGAATATGAGATCCCAAAATGGCATTCGGCCTCCCTTCGAGTTTGCCCTTGGGAATCAGAGAAGGTGGTCGTCCAGAGCGGAGCTTTTACAGGCCAGGGCCTCCTGGACTGATTCCCGCTTGGCCTGCGGAGGGGACCGAGGGCAAGTGGAGAAAGTGGAGAAGTGATCTGTTTGTAACCACCTTAGCTTGGCAGCGTAAGGAAGCGTAACGAAGTGAAATACCGTCAGTTTCCAGGCAATGGAAATGCAATGGAAACAAGGCAACCATTTGTTGGTCACCTTACGGATGCCCTGTCGCCATTCGTTATTTGTCATTCAGGTTCAACAGCAATCACTCCTCGCTGGGTTCGAGCCGTCGAACTAGTCCATAGGACCAGGGTTCGAGTCCAATGAAGCTATGCTTGCTCACCGAGACTCGACCACCAAGAAGTAGGTTCCTGACGCCAGCGATAGCGCAATTGCCCATCTCGGTATTGCGCGCATGTGCAGAAATTTGAAGCAGCATGTCCAGCTGAAACCCGACGTGGGCTTGCTGCTTCTTCTCGAAATACTGACGGCAAGAACTTTCATTGCCTTTGGTGAGCCTTTACGGAGCTTGACGCCCAAGTGAGGCGCTGCCCCGCCGCTGCTGCAGGGGCGGTTTCAGGGGCAGAGATGGAGGAGGAGGACGAGGACGGGAGTTGAGTCCCAACAACGACAAGTCATCGGTTCTCGACGGCCTCTTTGATATCCCCTTCGTGGTGGTTTGGGTGAGATGTCGTCGGAGGAGAAAACCACGATGGGCAAAGCTCCCATAGTTAACCGCAGCATCTAACCCATTGTGGCAGTGGCCTCCGGATACCCAAACTGATGGCTAACGCAGTTACACAGACAGAACGCCATGTCTTTCAATGGCCCGATTCACTACCCTCCAAAGCCTCTGAAACCGGAAACCATCCTCAAGTCCGGCTTCATCCCGTATGGCTTCACTTCCCTAAAGGAGGCCACACAGAAGCCCGATCTTGCTCAGCATCGCGCGGGAAGAAGACGCCCAAGCCTCGAATGGCCTTCCCTCACTGGTCGTATACCATTTCGTCAGGGAGAATGGTGGTAAAAACCCAAAGAGGCCGAGTGTGCTTGTGGGCTGAAATGCCAACCTGGGATTTGGCGTTACTGGCGTATCCACACACAACACTCCAACTGCTCGTTTTAGGGGTAGGACCACCACGGTATCAACGACCCATAGATCACCGCCCGAATCTCCCAAAGGTAGCTTCCCGTGAAACTCGAGGCTAGCTCCGGTCCCTTTGACTTCGACGTTCGCTCCCGTCATCATCTGAAAGGAGAGCTGGCCGTGGTATCTGCAGAGCTACAGATTCTGATGGATGAAGACGGAGGTGTCGCCGTGCTTCATCTCGTCCTCTTGTTTGCGTTTAACACAGTGCGAACTGGACAAGATAAACCGAACCGGCGACCTTAAGTCCATCCAATGAAAAGTGGCTTTTTACAGCTCTCAAAGATTTCCCCATCCGCTGCCGCGATTGTCGACGTCGCGAGGTTAACCCAAACTGGGCACCCACCCACACCCGCTAAACTGCACTACAACCATCCCTCTTCCTAAAACCAACCCGCAATTTGGGCATCTGTACTGAAACCCAGCCATTCTTGAAGTTCCCGTACCTGGACCGTACCCCCCAGCTAGAAAGAGGTGAGGGACAACTCTGTGAATATACTGGTCTACAAGCCAAGTAGACACATGGGTACGGAAGCGATTTCGTCAAACACTACTTACTATACGCCAAGCTGCCTTTTTCTACTAGGACTTTCACACTAGACTATCCTTCAGGACACTCTCCGGACACCGCGGTGAGACAGCATGGCTCTTGTCAGCGCACTTTGGCCTGACACTCCATGCACTCCTTGACACAAGGCAATCATGGAGCAATACCGACCATGACCAAGACACCATCGCTTTCCAAGTTGGCGTTTCTTGAGATCAACTCAATATCTGTCCACAGGACTTACCATATTCCTTTCGCAATGTCAGTTTGGGATATCAACAGTCTTCCAAATCGGCAGTAAAAATACCCGTCTGATTCTGGGGGACATGCCTGACCCCGAGATCCAAATCGTTGCATCGCAGCGGCAATATTCGCGCTTCATTTCCCTGGTGCTTATGGCATCTCTGTAATGGGATCTGAAATCATACGCGTGTATTGGGGGATCAGCGATGCTTACGACACGAACGACATACCTCACCCTAAACTTGGCGCGCATACATCTGGCCAACAAGAGCGAAACAACTTATGACCAGATTTTGGTAGTATCAAAACCGCAATGCACGACGGGGTCTTCCAGGTTGACAGTTGACAACAACGCCAATCTTCGACAACCGCATCACCACAGACGGCGGTTGGGTCTTGATCTCGAATCTCTGTATTTCCCTTGCCGGGCTGATAGACGAGTCCGCCCTTGGCGCTACTATGTTTATCGCACGGTGCGCGAACCATTCTTACAGATTACACAGTCTTACAAATTGGTGTTTCAGCACGTATCGATACTCGGATTCGGCAAGATCTCGATGTGCAACCAACCTCGAGACAAGATCCTTTGGATGCTTATGGCCTCTGCACAAAAAGGGGCGTTCGCATACATGTCGACATCTCGAAGTACCTATACGAAGAGCTTCAGTCTTTGAAAAGTTCAAACTGTGGACCTCACGAAAGATTACAGGACCGAACAAACTGCTGAGTTGTCCAAGCTATGCCAATAGCCCTGGGGCGCAGTAAGCACTAAACTGGCTGGCAATTGGCCAAATCTCACGGATTCCCCCCATACAATTTATTGTTTAGACACTGCAAACCAGCCCTTTCCTGATCGGGCCAAGCTTTTGCTGTGTGTAAGACCGACTGTGATGAGAGGTCTTCCCCCAGTCGTTACCAATGGCTGAGCCACTGAGGCCCTTCCTCTCCCCATTGCTTGTCACAGGGCCGCCGTACCACATGTACTTTCTCTTGACCCTACCTATTCACTTATTTGAGCTCTTGAGTAGATGCACAGTATGTCATCTTTGAAATACTTGAGGCTCTGCTGGTACCTCGGCTTGTACCTCGACTTGTTCCAAGTACAAGCGGGCGAGTCCTTGATCCCTTTGCGGATGGATAGGGATGGGAAGACCCTTGACTTGATTCACAGTCTACTTGCACTGTCGTATAATAAGTCCAAGGCCCCCTCGTGCTTTTCTTCCTGTCACGCCTTTTCTTTTTTCAACCTTAACCTTCAGTCAACAACAAAGTGGTATGAGACTTGACCATACCTCAAGTGCCTCTATTCAACAATATAACGAGCAATCCCACATTTATATCTACTGATACCCCTTCTCACGTTCCTTCTTCCCTCACAATACCCGTGGCACATTCGTTTTGTATACTCGAACGCACGCCACCTTTCCATCCCGAACTACTCGAAGACCATCATATCATTCGTGATTTGTGCATCTGGCACAGTTCGTCAAGATGACCAACCCGTGGCTCTACCAGGACGACAGCTACCACGTGCCCTACTCTTACAACAGAATGGAGTATACACCGGGACTACTCGAGAGTTTTATCGACCCCATGTTGCAAAGTTTTACAACACCATCAGCCTACCCGACCACCATGGATCAACACCATTCGATGCAATTCCAACTCAAGGAAGGACAAAAGACAATGGTCTTCAACTCCGATATCCCACAACCGGCTACCTTCATTCCTTCCACGTTGGGGGTCATGAATCCATTCCAGGTCCGCTGCATCAGTCCTAATTCGGCCTTCGAGACTTCAGAAGCATCCGGAAGTGCACAGAGCCCACCCGCAGACACCAACACCGAACCACCTGCAAACTACGAAGCCCGATCGCCCCTACAAGAGCCTTTGCACCCTGAAGATTTTGGTCTCTCCCAGAACCACTCTATCCAATTCGCCGGCATAGGCAAAGGTCTGGGCAATGGCTTCTTCGTCAACCCTATGGACGTCAACTCAACCGGGCAGATGGACGGCTATGACAGCGAGACCAGCACTCTTGAATTCACTCTGCCTCAGCGGGTCAACAGCTGGGAGAGTTACACGACTGGTGGGGTGTCCGGGTGTGACATGGAGCAGATTCAGCAGCAGCAGCAGCAGCAGCAGCAGCACAACTCTCCTATAGTTGACTACACCAAGCCCGTCAACCACTACCCACCTGCGTCCCAGGAGAAGATCGAGGAGCCGTCTCTAGTCATTCTTCCACGCGCACCCAACCTGAAGCGAACGAGGCAGGCCGATGCCGACGCCGATGAATACCTCCCAGCGACCAAACGAACCGCCGCAGTCCTCAGCCGATCAACATCCACCAAAACCAAAACAACCACCCCCCGTCGCGGCCGCCCCCCAACCTCCCACTTCCCCTTGACTACCCACCGCCCTCACCAACACCAACCCACCCGAACCCTCCCCTCAACAGCTACCAAAGCCCTCACTCCCAACTCCTCCAGAGGTAATCTCCTCTGCCCCCACCCGCCCTGCCACCAATCATCCCATGGCTTCAAAGACCAACCCTCTCTAGACGCACACATCAAGAAACAGCACTCACGCCCGTTCATCTGCGTCTTCAGCTTTGCCGGTTGCGACTCCACTTTCGGCAGCAAGAACGAGTGGAAGCGACATGTGGCCAGCCAGCACCTGGTGCTAGAGTACTGGCTTTGTCAAGAGGGGGAGTGTGCTAACGTTGATAACAACATCCCTTCGTCTGTGGCAGCGATTTCTGGAGGTAGTGGATCAAGGTCAGGAAAGAGGAGAAAACCAGTACAAACCATGATCCCAGGGAACGACAACGACGAGAACGAAGACGACGAAGACCTACCCCTCCTCCCCAACGGCGCCATCTTCAACCGCAAAGATCTCTACACCCAACACGTCCGTCGGATGCACTTGCCTTCTCACCTGACCCCTTTTCTGAGAAAGGAATCTTCTCCCGCAGGCAGCAACAAATCCTCCTCCTCCTCCTCCTCCTCGGCCCTTACCCAAACAAACGAAACCACCCAACAAGAACTCAACATCTACATCGCCACCTTACAATCCCGCGCCCAAATCAAGCGCTGTGCCCTGCCCACATACATGCGTTGTCCGGTGCCCAGCTGTCCACAGCCACCCTTCAAGGGCACGGAAGCATGGGACCAGAGGATGGAACATGTCGCTAAGCATTTGGAGAGTTATGCTGCCGCCACTGCTGCTACTGTCGCTGCCGCCACTGCTTCCGGTACAAGAACTGGATCGGAAGTGGAAGTGGACTCTCGGTCGTCAGTAGCAGAACAAGACAACAACAAGGTGGAATTCGGTAGCGAGAGTGATACTACTTTGACGGAGTGGGCTGCTAGTAGGGAGGTGGGCATCATTAAGCGTGTCATCAGGACTGGGTCTACTGGGACTGGAACGGGGAAAGCAGAAGGAGGAGGATGGAAGTGGGTGACGAGAGACCCGATTAAGAGGAGAGGACATGGTGGGAATGGAACTGGAAGTGGAAGTGGAAGTGGAAGTGCTGCCGGTGGGTACGGCGGAGTGGGTAGGGGCAAGGGAGGACGGACGAAGGTGGTGAAGACGAAGGGAAAGGCGAAGGCGGTGACAACGAAGGCGAACATGAAGAGGGAACAAGAGGTGGAGGAGGAGATTGTGGTTCAAACTCGAACTCAAAATCACCAGTCGTTCGAGTTTGAGGATGATGAATGACTATTGATAATAAAAGGAAAGGTGGTGGACAGGACGTTACTGCCTTCTCTTTTGTTATTGTTGTTGTTGTCATTGGATTTTGTGCAGGAGGGTTGTTGGGTTCGAATCCATTTAGGATCAGGAATCGGATTATGGGAGAAATTGTTAATACGTTTACTGGAGCTGAGGATTTGGTGGAGTTGGATACTATTCCTTCTGATGATGATTGATGATAATACCATGCTTATTAGATCCAGATACTTTTTACAGCTCTCTCATTTGTTTGTTTGTTTGTGATATAGTCAATACCAATCTGCGTTTTGTTTACTTTCATTCGCTCAGTTGCTCCTTTCAGGTGCCTGCTTGCATGCCTTTGCCTTTGCGATTGCTACGTTGAGTGACCCATTTGGCACTTGTGACTATCGGGCTGCCTATTGGTGGGAGGTCAGGGGGAGGGGATACCCAGGAAACTACATCATCTGAACACCTACATAACATCGGTTGGTTTAGTAAACCGACATCAGAGGGATAGAGAGGTCCTAAGCTGTAGGAGTTGGCTCGCGATACCTAGGTATGAGTCAAAGTGTCTACCGTTTCTTTTTCCTGGCCAAACTTCGACCACGACCGATTTGTCCTCTTTCATCTTCGGCTACCATCGCGTTTCCACGGTTTAGACTAGGTAATAATTCAGCTCATGCTTGATATGGGCGCGGGCGTGGGCGTGGATTGTGATTGTGTTACCAAAGGACATCATGGCCGCATTCTAGGCCTCCTGCTTGTCCCCAAGCCATAATAAGCGCCATGCCACTGACTTGCACACTGAGCGCCGAAGTAGCTCCTGCCTGCAGTGCTGTTTGACAAAAGGCCCCCCGGTAGCTGACCTGGTCACTTCCATCTACACTAGCTAGCTAGGCACCCAGGCATTCAGGGCAACCAGGCATGATGGCGCTGGCTTGCATACGTACTTGCGGGGTACGATGCCAGCACGAAAGCCCAGCGTGGAGAAGCGACATGGTGGTGTCAGTCAGTCGTAGTAGTGCCTTTTCGTTCGTTCGTTCAGTGAAGGATCGAGCGGGATGTAATCTCGTAATTTTCCCATGTCTCAACTGGTTACAAGCTTACCACAGGCTTGGGAAACGTCCGTCCCCCTTTGGCAACGCAAGCTCGGAGGTAGGTAACAATCCGGTCGATCACTATTCATCATCCGCATCAGATCCAATTTCCAACCACACCGCGATTCTCCCACCTTGAGCGTTCGCCAGTATGGACAAGCAGCGGTGTGCCGAGCAGTGGTGTTGGACAGAAAAAGTTCAAGTCACATCGCAGGCGGGCGGGCGGGCGGACAAATGTAACCTGGCTACCACATTCGCGGGTGCGTGCCAGCTTGCCAGCATTGAGCCAGCATATTGCCAGGTAACTGTGGGTGTAACTTCGCATAGGGAAATGCGGCGATGGTGCACATAGTAGTGCATGTAGGAGATTGGATACGTACAGCCTGGCTAGGTAGCAGTGCCCGTGGAGATCATCTGAAATTGGAGGAGCACCACCAGCCAGAGATCCAGCGAGGAAAACGCGAGGGAGTGGGCAAGTGTTGGGGTGGGCGGACCCAGCACTTGGTTGTCCATCGCTAATCTATCCATGCCATTGGAAGTCATACGAAAGGTCAAACTTGAGCTTTGACTTTGCTGGGAAGACCTGGGGTGGTGGTACAGACATATTGTCGCAAGGATGTAGGTTCCAGACATACATGTGCGTGCAGACAGGCAGACACTGCCATGCCGGCACGGAGACGGGGCACGATGCGTAGGTTGAGTTGGGGTACTGAGACTTGGGCTTGGTCCATGTGGTGATGCCGTGATGCGGTGGAGGTGGCTGTGGAGAGAGACATCTACCGGGAGTTGTCCTTGCACTTGTAGATAGACGAATGATGGAGAGACAAATCAGTGAGAAGTGTTTGAGTGTCTGGGCAATACTGAGGACTCCAGTAATGATTGACGCAATCTCACTACTGCGAGAATATCCTCTCATAGCGACACCGTCTAGACACTCGTCTATTGTCGAACTGGTCAAAAAGCAAACACCACATCTGGACATGTGTGCCTTGCTCTCTACATCATCGCTTGCCCTGGCCCGAATTGGTTGAAGAACTCCACAATAGACGGCAAGCCTCCAGAGTCCAGACCGAAGAGCAAATGTTAAGCGCGAAACATGTCTTGCTTGTCTGGCAGTGCCCGGTTATGCAGCTTCGCTCAGGGGATTTCCCCGAGTCTTCCGGAGCTAAGGGCCATCATGAACTTGGCGAAAGCTTGTGGTCGATAACATAGGGCTTTATCATGATCGTCCGCAAGCAATCGCCCAATTTGTCGGCGGTTGTGGAAAAGCCACCACCGATGGACACGGCCACGGACACGGCCACGGCCACGACGCCCATCGCTGGCTGGGGTTAACGGCTGGGAGCAGGTGAAAGAGGGCGCCAGGGACTCCTGGTGTCCATCTCTTAGCTCGTTGCTTTTTTTGATGTTCTTTCCTTCATGATGTTGAGACATCATGAATATCGTGGACCAGTCTCGTTCGTCGATCGGGCAGACGGGTCAATGAGGGTCGTTTTGAGTGGTGAAAGCCACCTATGACCCCTGGGCTATCACTTGTATCCTTGAGATCATCGCTCGTGGGATGACGGACGCGAGGGTAATTCCCATGACGCGAGCTGAGACGTTATTCCCACTTGGCGCCCGTCTCGTGGGGAATAGAGTCTGAGAGCAATTACGCACCGCAAAGGATTCACGTACCTCACAGCTAGTTGTCTCACACACATCAACCTGCGGGTCGACCCGACGGTATCAGGGTTGATGGCACATCAGTGAAGTGTCTGGTGGCCGGGCCACAGAGAGCGCAACCGTCTTTGGGGATTCTGCAGGTATGGAGGACGAAATAGGAAATGCGGCGATGAAGAGAGAATGGCGCCGTCTTGGCAAGCTGGCAGGGCGCTGGCGTCGTTCTCGCATTGGAACGCGTTGGTTTACCGAGAGAATCGAGAGGAAACTGGGGATTGGCCAGATAGACGAGCAGGGGATTTGGGAGGGGAGATTTGCTTCATTGTGACAAACACTTGTCCAAGCTTCGCCGGTTTCAATAGCGCGGGCGGGAGAAACATGGGAGGAACGCCTTGGAAGGACTGGCTACAAGATATTCGGGGGCACCCAAATCATTGCTACCCAATGTGGGCAAGGACCTGCTCGGGTTTTATCAGTATTTATTCTTGTATTGTCATTACAAACACAATACATTACACAAGGCCACCCCCCCC